ATGCAGGAGGCTATCAATCATCTTCTGCATATTTGGGCCATTAGAGAGGTCCCATCTGAACAACGGGGTCAAGGCTGTTACTCTCTATTGTTTGTGGTCCCAAAGAGTTCGGGGGCTGGAGGGCAATTCTGGACCTCAGACGTTTGAACAGATCATTGGTTTATTGAAAATTCAAGGTGACTACTCTCCGGTCTATTCTGCTCAGCGTCAGAGAGGACGATGTCCTGACCTCTAGATCTGACAGAGGCTTATCTACATGTACCAATTAGACCTGCTCACTACAAGTATCTCAGATTTTGCTATTGTGATCAGCACTACGAATATATCGCCCTATCATTCGGTCTGGCTTCGGCCCCTAGGACCTTTACCAAGGTCCTGGCAGCTTTGGCTGCCTCCCTCAGGATCAAATCTATTTGTTTACAATGTTATCTGGATGATATTTTAATGTTGTCATCTTCCAGACATCAAGTGAATTTGGATTCCAAGATTACTCTGGAGACCCTTCAAGGTCACGGCTTTTCCATAAATTGGGGTGAAAGCCGTTTCACCCCCTCAACTAGGTTAGTTCATTTAGGGGCAGTGATAGATACCGTGGAGGGCAAGATTTTTCTCCCTCAGGACAGGCTGAATAGCATCCAGTCTTTGGCCAGAGAGATCAGAACCTTTGAGAGGGTTTCCTTGGCAGTTCTGTCTCAACAGTTAGGCAAACTGATTTCTTGTATTTCCATTGTGCCTTGGGCTTGGTTCCATCCTAGAGACCTGCAATGGTTCCTGCTACCTTTCCAGCGATCCAGAAGAGCCACTTCCAATGTCCGGATAAAGGTACCGCACAATGTTCTCCGATCACTCCGCTGGTGGTCAGAAAACACGATAAACAAGGGGTGTCCTTTCAAGGAACCTTGCAGGGCAACGATCACAACTGATCCCAGCCTGGTAGGATGGGGAGCTCACTTCCAATCCCACACTGCACAGGGAACTTGGACTATTTCCGAACAATCACAAAGCATCAACCTATTGGAGCTGTGAGCAGTTCATCTGGCGTTACGCAATTTTCTAGCCTTTTTCCAATCACGCCATGTTCTGGTCTTGACAGACAATATTACAACCAAGGCCCACGTAAACAGATGGGGGTACCCATTCCAAACTTCTGATGCTGGAGATGGCCAGGTTGTTCAAGTGGGCCGAGACCAATCTGCTTTCACTCAAGGCAGAGCACATAGCAGGGGCCTTAAACACACAAGCAGACTGGCTCAGCAGGGCCATGATAGATCAGGCAGTGGTGCCTACACCCATCTATCTTCCAGGAAGCAGTGCGGAGGTTTGGGCAGCCGGTGATCGATCTATTTGCCTCTCCCCTCAACGCCCAATTACCCCACTATATTTCAAGGTACCCGACTCGGGGCGGAGGCCGTAAATGCCCTGCGATGTCAGTGGCCTCCCGGACTTCTATATGCGTTTCCTCCACTTCCTGTAATACCCAGGTTGATCCAGAAGTTATTGGAGGAATGAGCGGAATTGATATTGGTTGCCCCTTACTGGCCCGGGCGAACATGGTTCGCGGACTTACAGGACCTGTCGAGCCAACCACCTTGGAAAATTCCACCGTCAAGGGTTTCTCTCTCACAAGGGCCGGTACTTCATCCGGACCCACAATGGCTCAGCCTAGCCGTATGGAGGTTGAGCGGAGCTGTTTAAGGACCCAACAGATTTCAGAGGATGCCATTGCCACCGTACAAGCATCCAGACAGTCCTCAACAAATCGTATATACGAGGCTATGGGGTCCGCTTTCTGTCGCTGGTGCCGGGAATCTAAAATCAATCCAACCACCCCATCAATAGGACAATTATTGGACTTTTTACAGGACGGGTTGACCAAGGGCCTATCTCCAAATACTTTACACAGACAGGTGGCGGCCTTAGCCTTGGTGATATCCTGGGGTGACCTTCGTTCCATAGCGCACCATCCACATGTCCGCAGCTTTCTTAAGGGTGCTGCGAACTTATGACCTGTAATTCACCGCTATCCCACTTGGGAGCTCAACAAGGTGTTAACCGCACTTACATCTGGCCCATTTGAGCCTTTAAGAACCGCTAGTCTCAAATTCCTGACATATAAGGTCTTCTTAATTGTGATCACATCAGCAAGGAGGATTTCTGAATTGGCAGCATTGTCGATGAGAAAGGACCTGTGTGTGTTTCATGCAGACAGAGTGGTTCTCAGATTGGATCCATCGTTCACCCCTAAAGTAAATTCAGTCTTCCACAGAGCGCAGGAGTTGGTGCTCTCAAATTTTTGTCCGAAACCATCTCATAGACTGGAGCATCAATGGCATCGACTTGACGTTCGAAGGGCGTTGAGCATCTATCTGGACCGCACGGCGGAATTTCGAAAATCTGAGGCTCTATTCATATTTTTCAACCCATCCACTTTAGGACACAAGGTGTCGTCGACGACCATTGGTAGATGGTTGAGAGCCACCATAGTTAAAAGTTACAAATGCCAGTCCATCTCAGTTCCTAAGGGCATTACAGCCCACTCAACAAGGAGTACGGCAACATCAGCAGCATGGGCCACACGGGCTTCCATAGACGAAATTTGTAGAGTGGCAACTTGGGCTTCACCATCGCCCTTTTTCGGAAATTATAAAATTGATGTCTATGCCTCAGCGGACGCTTCATTTGGCAGAAGAGTCCTGCAGAGGGTCCACAGAGATTAGGACTGGATTTTGATCCAGATGGAGTCCCTCCCTAAGGACAGGCTAAGCTTTGGTATGTCCCACTTCTGGATGCTCTGAACAGCTCATGGGAGAAAGGGCATTGGTACTTACCTGATATGCCCGTTCTCTGTGAGCTGTGAAGAGAATCCAGCCCTACCCATTTCTTTCTGTCTGGTGGGGTTCCGTTCCGGTCAGGGATCTAGATTAGGTGATGAGTTCCAGACTTTGGCACTCAGTCTTCGCAAAACTGGGGGACGCTGGGGAGGTGTCTCGTGGAGGAGGAGGAGCGTCCCAGAGTTTTAAGCCCAGCCTTTCCAGAAGAGACTGAAGCACCTCCCACTTCTGGATGCTCTTCACAGCTCACAGAGAACAGGCGTATCAGGTAAGTACCAACACCCTTTTTCTGTTGACAGATAAATGTAGCCACATCTCATAAATATCTAACATTTTCTTATCACAAGAGAGGTTATGAGAGGGAGGTTAGTCTGGGTGGAAATTCACCCAACATTTCAGCAGAGTAGGAATATGACATATTCAATTGCATAAAGTACTGGTAAAGTTGGGTGGATTCAGATCTGGAAGAATAGTATCTAAATCCTACGTCATTCATCAACTTCCTTTTTAGCGGTCCCCCAGCTTAAATCTCTTAAAACATCTTTGACCAACCTCAAAGTCTCAGTACATGTAGGAAGCAGAGAGGATACAGATGCTGAGAAGCTTGGAATCTTGGTACTATTCCATTTGTTCTCGAGCATTTACACTTGTCATTCCTCAAGCATTTTTAATGGAAAAGCAAATTTCTAGCAGTCCTCAGCATAGAAAATATCAGAACTTTATTTGTCATATGGGAGACAAGTGCAGTCTTCCCAATTTAGAAGCTCTTCATCCAGAGCAGTCATTCATCATTAAGATGAAATTGATGTTTCACAGAAAGCAACAGGTGTCTGTGCCTTCCTCCTGTTCCAGGGAGAAATGGCATCAGTTGGTTTTAAGGTTTTAGATCTCAGGTATTCACACTCTCCAGTCCCCCTTGGTTTTATTGTAGTCAACAATTGGGCAGTGGTGTCTAGGGGAATCAAGAATGCATCACTTTGACTGGTAGTTCTCTTGCTCTTCCAAAGAAAATTGGAATCCATTCTATAAAGATCGTTTGCTATAGATACCCAAGGCAGCTACCCAATTGTATTTTTTTCTTAAATAATTACAAGTTTGAACATTCTTATTTCTGCTAAGGTATATTTCTGCAGCCTGTTAATTAGGACGTCTGCTCCAGTGAGACTGTGCAGGTATATCCCAATGTTAAATACTTTTTCTTCCACTACAAGAAACTGGAAAATTCGACTCTCTGCTAAGGTTTCTCTTCTGACAGTGAGAAGACATCATCACCTCTCTCTCTCAAATCTCCCTCCACTGCACGGGAAGGGTTTTAGATGTGTGGTTTGGTGTTTCATTCATGAAGCTTGTTGATTTCTTTAACCATTATTATACTTACCAGAAACTACATTTTAGCTTGGAAGTCACTGCATGTTCTTCCAGCCACTTTTAGGAGAACAGAACATTTCTGTTCTCTGTCTGCCTTACCAGGAAGAGCAAATACTATCTGAAAATCATGTATGGTAGTGGTGCTGGGGTTCAATTGGATTGGGAGCAGACCAGGGGTGGGCTTCAAAAATATCAGCAACTGGTTCGCTGTCTGGCTGCTGGGTGGGTATGGCCATGGTGGGCATGCTTCCTGCACCATGGCCGGGGGGAGGGCATTTTCACCCTCCCTGGGCTCTGGAGGCTTTCCTCAAGCCTCCAGGAGGGCGAAAATGGCGTCCCCGGAGGCCGGAAATGGGCATGTTTCCAGCCTTCCAGAATTTCCGGGAGGCCCGTTTTTCGCCCTCCCCAGGCTCCAGAGGCTTTCTTCAAGCCTCCAGGGGGGTGAAAACAGCTTCCCCCGGGCTCCATTTTTCACCCTCCTCGAGCCTCCGTGCAAGCCCTGCATTTACTTGGCATCCAAACAGGCCACATGGGGACTCCGGGGAGGGGAGGGATGAGTGGGCGGGGCCAGCCAGGGGTGGGATTTACAGTTTGCCGAACTGGCCTTAAAACTAGCTACGGGTTTGCTCGCATCAGGGTGAACTGGTAACAGCTCACCCCTGGAGCAGACCCCAGTCAGCTCTGTGTCTCACCACCCCTTTGCTTATTATGCCCCACTAGTTGTTGGGAAAAGAGGAGAACAGGAACAGACAGTTAAAATGGGTTCATATTAATTTGATTTTTTTCTACTTCTCCCTCCAGGGTGTCAGTTCAAGACATCTTACGGAATGAAAGACATGGAACGGCACTTAAGAACACACACAGGTACATTCCGGGGACTTTTAGAATACAGGTAGTCCTTGACTTACAACCACAATTTCCACTGCTAAGCAAAATAGTTTAAGTGAATTTTGCCCCATTTTGCAAGCTTTCTTGCCGCAGTTGTTAATGAATCACTGCAGTTGTTAAATTAGTAACATGACTGTTAAAAGAATCTGGCTTTCCCATTGCCTTTGCTGGTCAGAGGGCACTGCAACCATCATAAATACATGCCCAGGTGCCAAGCACCCAAATTTTACTCATGTGACCACAGGGTGGTCATAAGTGTACCATGGTCATCAATGTGAAAAATGGTCATAAGGATTATTTGTAAGTTATTTTATTTTTGAGTCAGTGGAAATAGCTTTCTTAGAATATGTGTCCTTTTCCAGCAAAACATTTGTAATCTGACGTTGAGATGGGGGTGAACAATGATAGGGGAGTGTTATTTTCTGAACTGCTGCACCTTTTTATAGTCATTCCATGATATGAATGCTAGTAGAAATTAGGAATAATAATAATAAATTTCTCTTAAACCAAATCGTAGTGGACAACCAGCTAAATATGAGCCAGCAGCACCACTCTATAAAGCCTTAGTAAGACCACACCTAGAGAACTGCATCCAGTTTTGGTCACCACATTATAAAAAAGATGTTGAGACTCTAGAAAAAGTACAGAGAAGAGCAACCAGGATGATTAGGGGACTGGAGGCTAAAACATACAACAAACAGTTGCAGGAACTGGGCTTGGCTAGTCTAGTAAAGAAAAGGATCAGGGGAGACATGATAGCAGTCTTCCAATATTTGAGGGGCTGCCACAAGGAGGAAGGGGTCAAGCTATTTTCTAAAGCGCCTGTGGGCCAGACAAGGAATAATGGATGGAAACTGAACAAGGAGAGATTTAACCTGGAAATAAGGAGAAACTTTCTGACAGTGAGAACAATCAACCAATGGAACAGCTTGCCCTTGGAAGTTGTGGGAGCGCCATCACTTGAGACTTTAAAGAAGAGTTTGGACTGCCATTTGTCGGAAATGGTGTAGTGTCTCCAGCTTGGGGGTGGGGGCGGGGTTGGACTAGAAGGTCCTTTCTAACTTTGATTATCCTAAATCAAATTATTGTGACTTTTCGAAAGTGGAGCTTACCTGTATCTGCACATATCCCTAATTTTCTAAGGGAAAGTAGACAGCATGATAAAAAAAAACCTTGAATGATAATTTCCATTTCATCTTGGAAAAGATGAATTCTATCCCCTCGAAAACAGGGTGCTTTACATTTCTTCTCTCAGGTGACAAGCCCCATAAATGTGAAGTTTGCGGCAAGAGTTTCAGTCGAAAAGATAAGCTGAAAATGCACATGCGCTCCCACAGTGGAGTGAAACCTTACAAGTGTAAACACTGTGACTACGCAGCAGCCGAGAGCAGCAGCCTAAACAAGCACCAGCGCATCCATTCCGACGAGCGTCCTTTCAAATGCCAGATCTGTCCTTATGCCAGCCGCAATTCCAGCCAGCTCACTGTTCATCTCAGATCTCATACCGGTAAGGCCGGGGCAGGGGGAGTTGTTTGTGGTCTATTTAGCCCTGAAAACCTTAAGATGGTTTTGGGAATGGAAAAAAAATGCCCATTTAAAAATGCAACTCAATTCAACAGACTTTATTTATTTTTTAATTACTTATCAAATTTGTGAACTGCCCAAAGCTATGCAAGGGTGATCGGCGGTATACAAAAAGAAATAATAAGACTGTATTGTGATGACCCAGGCTGGGAGACAAAATAAACACAGTCACAAAAACAGGTAAAGCCCCTTTTATTCCTTCACTTTGCTTCAAAGCTCCAAATATCCTTGACTGGAGACAAAAAATTCCCCCACAAGCAGTTACAAAAAGGAGGAAATGCCATTTAAACTAAAAATGCCTATAAATTATAAGGAGTAAAAACAACACGAACCACACTGAAGCAGTTAAGGGAACCAGGCAAGATAAGGGCTTGAAAACGTCCACAGATATCTGAACACACACTGGGAAGGATGCCAAACTCAGAGAGGAACAACAGACTAGAGATATTTCCATGCTTTGTTTCCAGCACTGGCCCATACACATTTCCATCCCTTTAACCAGTTCTCACAGCTGTAGCCCATGAAGAGGATCAAGGCCCTGTCCTCCCCCATAGACCATGCCATTCACATCTCTCCCTTATCCTCTCCTCCCTGCGTGCCCTAGGATGAAGAGGGGATGGGCCTGGGTCTTCCTCTGACTGCCCAGCCGGCCTCTGCCCTTCCCTAGCCTCCTCCACAACTTCCGGAGCCACATTTCCACTCCCTGTCAGTTGTTCCTCCTCTCCCTTGGAGTCAGTCTCCAACAGGGACATGGCATTTATAAAGGCAGTGCAGGTAGTCCTCAACTTATGACCACAATTAAGCCCAAAATGTATGTTGCTAAGTGACATATGCCTCATTTTTCAACCTTTCTTGACACATTTGTTAAGTGAATCACTGCAGTTGTTAAGTTAGTAACATGGTTGTTACGTGAATCTGGCTTCCCCATTGACTTTGCTTGTCAGAAATAGATGATTATGTGACACCGGGACATAAATATAAACCAATCACAAAATGAATTTTACTCATATGACCATTGGGATGCCGCAACCGTTGTAAGTGTGAAAAACAGTCAAGTCACTTTTTTCAGTGCCGTAACTTTGAACGGTCACTAAATGAACTGTTGTAAGTTAACTACCTCCGGTAGTCCTCAGCTTACAACCACAGTTGAACTCAAAATTTCCATTGCTAAGCAAAACAGATGTTCCATGAGTTTTCCCCCATTTTATGACCTTTCTTGCCACAGTTGCTAAGTGAATCAATACAGTCATTAAGTGAATCTGGCTTCCCTGATTGATTTTGCTTCCTGGGAGCTTCCTGGGAAGATTATGAACAGTGTTCACATGACCTCAGGACAGTGCAACTGCCATAAATACATGCCAGATGCCATGTGTCCAAAGTTTGACCACGTGACTGTGGAGCTGCTGCAACAGTCATGACTGTGAAAAGTAACCATAGGTCACTTTTTTCAGTGCCGTTGTAAAATACTGCCTGCATCATGTTCTACCATAGTGTGGGATTTTTATTTGATTTTGCTTTAGCAAGTTGTGCCAAACTTTAGCAAGTTGTGGGTATTAGTAGACTCTTTTTAAGCAAAACACGATAAGTTCAGTGCTTGAATCTGCTATTAATACTGTAAATAGAAGCTTAAAGAAGAAAAATCTCTTTTAAGATCCCGATCTAAAAAACTTTCAATTGTGGGCGGAATTACCCTACCCAGTGTTGGTCCTACAGTGTTATCATTTCTCCTCTCTCCAATCAGGCCCCCATCTTAGGTCAGTGGTTTGAGCTGGACTCTGAGCTTTTCCACAAAGCCAGGTTTCTAGGGCTTATACCCAACTTTTTCAGTCCTCATGTGCTACACGTGTTGTTTGTCTAAAGCAGAGTTCCCCAACTTTTCTGGGTTGGCAGCCCAGAGCAGGGGGGAAGAGGGGATCTTTTGTGGGAGGAGCATGTGCAAACATTTGTGGCGACACTTGCATGAGTGGGGCCGCAAGCACCCACAACAAGGCACATGCGAGTGGAGCCGCGAACGCCCACAACGATGCTCGCACGAGTTGGGTCAAGAGCACCTGCAACAACACTCACATGAGTTGGGCCATGTGCACACACTGGTCAGCCACTTACATGGCCCGGTGGCAATTAGGCCCTGACCCGGTAGTGGACCATGGCCCACAGATTGGTCTAAAGGGCTCTCCCACGATACCTTGATTTTTGGCTAGTAAAGTTCTGCTCTTTCTCACAACCAAGTTTCTTGTAAGATTCTCCAAAGCAAAAGACTTTTCCTTCTTCCCTTTTTGGCCTTTTATCCTATGAGTTTTAGACTCAGCTAGCCAGCTTTCTTTTACTTGCTTTGACACTGTTTAAAGGTGACGTTTTGTGTTCGTTTTGGGAGGTAAAAATTAAAGCTCCTCCTTGACTTTTTTTAAAGCCATTGTTTACCAAAGCCAACTATTTTAAAGTTCCCTGGGCTTAATCTTAAATGCACTGACAGCAATTAAATATTGCTACTTTTTTCCCCAATATATTTAGGCATCCTAACATGGAGACTTTTTGCACTGCTGCAGCTGTTTTTCAGAAAAAGCAGATCAGTGTGGGCAATAATAGGCAGAGACAGACAATACAAAGAACAGAACTGCCAATCTGTGCAACTTCATTAATATAATGTGTATAATAAACATTTTATAGTGAGGGCCTTAATCTTTAAATACATGCTTGGATTACCACAGCATGCCATGTCATGATTTCAAAAAATCTTTAGTTGGAATCAATGAAACATACAGCCAGCTAAACCAATTATGCATCTTTTTACAATCTTCCATTTATGAAAATCTATAAAATATTAACTTGTGAAGTAAATTAAGCTTCATGTGTCACAGTTATTAAAGAATAACAAATTCACTGTATTAGGGAGCTGCCTATATTTTATTTCTGTTTTAAATAGCATCCTGTGTCTTACTCAGCTTGTGGTGTGTGTACAAGGGAGGGTGGGGGGTCCAACCAATACCCAAGCTGTTCAAATGACGGAAAGCAACAGTAAATCAATAGTATTTTTTGTTTGTTTAAGTATTAACAATAACCATAGTTTATTAACAAGATGGAGCTCATAATAGCTGTCGGTGTGCTGCAAAAATTATCAATACTTTGTTGGACAAAGAGTTCGCTTGTCTTTTTACACTGGCATTTTTCTCTATAAAACTTCTCTTTGTAGTGTACTTTATTTTTTTAATCAACAGTTGAATGCAATTTTTCCAGTAAGGTAGCAACTAAATAAACAAAGGCCTATATACCAGATCAGTAAATGGATCAATGAAAGCTAGGTCTTTCGAAAAGCAGCTTTACCCAAAACAAATTTCTAAATACAATTTCTTTTGCTCTAAACAAGATATGCTTTAAAGCAGGGGTCACCAACTTTTGGACCTCAGGGACCACCAAACTCATAATTTTAAATCCCAGGGATCTATGGGCGTGGCCTAATTTGTGAGTGTGGCTTGGTGGTCATGTGACTGGCTGGGCATGGCTTGTATGTAAATATTTTAAATATTTATATAAATATTGATTTTTTTTATTTAAAAAAAGAGCAACTTTGACCCAAAATCAGGCAAACAGGCAGGCAGATTGAGTTGCTCACAGAATCATTCAGTGATCTATCTATCTGCCATCGGTTACTTGAGTCTGTCACATAAAATTTGTTTGCCGTGAGTCTGCACTGAATAATAGAACCTTCAGTCCTAAGGGAGCCGAAGACCTAAAGACTAGCTAGAAAGCAAGAAATTCAACCATTTCCTGCTTCCTAGCTAATCTAAATCTCCCAACACAGCAGAACAGATGATGGTCGGAAAAAGGAAAAAATAACAATTTAGCAGGTAAGTTTGCTGGGTAAGGAGTGAGTGGGCGGGGAGGGTTCCCACAGGCCATGTGGGCGGCGCAGCCTTTTGTTTCTGTGCAGCCTGGATTAATTACTTTGGGGGGGGGGGGATGGTCTGAGGGTGAGATTTCTCTGCGGCCCACCAAAATTTTCTCACAGCCCACCGATTGGTGACCGCTGCTTTAAAGGACACACTTCCCAAGCTAGTACTAAAAAACTTTTAACATTTCTAGCTAGCCTGTTTACTGTCACCTGGAAATTCTGGGAATTGCAGTCTCATCGGGGGTATTTTGGGACATGTAATGGCACAAAGGCAATACCACCAATTCCAGCATTTGTGTGTGGTTTGAAGAAGGGTGAATGGGCTAGATATGTACCCTCAAATCTTCTAAAGCAGGAATGTCAAACTTGAGGCGTCACAGCAGTGTCACATGACATATCTGGACTTTTCCCCCTCGCGCTAAGCCAGACGTGGGCATGGCCAGAGTGTGAGGCAAGTGGCTCATGGGCTGCATATTTGACAGCCCTGCTCTAAAGCAATATTTCTCAACATCAGCAACTTTTAAGGTGTGTGGATTTCAACTCCCAGAATGCTGGCTGGCTGAGGAATTCTGGGTGTTGAAGTCCACACATCTTAAAGAGGCTGGGATTGAAAAACACTGGCCCTAAAAGTACCACTGTGGAATTCAAAGTGTTCTATAGCCCTGATGAATACATAGTTTTCCAATTACTTTGTCAGTAAGTATCACGAGTTTCATTTGGCTAGAATTAAGCGGAATCCCTGACATGCAAATAATTGCCCTTGCAAACATTTGTCTCCCAAACAGGAGATGCTCCTTTCCAGTGCCGTCTGTGCTCTGCCAAATTTAAAATCAACTCTGACTTGAAGAGGCACATGCGTGTGCACACAGGGGAGAAGCCTTACAAATGTGAGTTCTGCGAGGTCCGGTGTGCCATGAAAGGTAACCTGAAGTCTCACATCCGCATCAAGCACAACATGGAGAATGCCTTCAAATGCCTCGTCTGCAAGTTCCAGTGTGGGAATAAGACAAGTCTCCGTCAGCATCTGCGAATCCACCAGCCCGAGCAGCCCGTGAAATGCTCGGAGTGCAGCTATTCCTGTTCCAACAAGGCGACCCTCAAAGTACACGAGAGGATCCACTCCAAGGATCGCCCTTTCAAGTGTGAGTTCTGCCGCTTTGATACCAAGCAACGGAGCAATTTGACCACCCATGTCAAGAAAACCCATCCCGATAAGATCAGGGCCAGAGAAACAATATCAGGTCAAGGGGAAGGAGATCGGTCAAAGGAAGGCAACTCCAGACAAGTTGCTAAGCTGGAGGCCAGGAAAGCTTTCAGATGTGATCTCTGTGAGGCCTCCTTTGTCCGGGAGGACTCTCTGAGGAGCCATAAAAGGCAGCATGTTGAATATAATGGAACTAAAACTTCTGAGCTGGCTGTCTTACAGTTCCAGATGGACCCCACCCCACAAGATGATACTTCTATTACTGTTAGTCATCTTCAGATGCCATTGCACGCTTCCCCCTATGGGGAAGGGCAGGTCAAGATCATTGTTGGGCATCAGCTACCCCAAGGCAGCAGCTTGGAACAAGGAGGTCAAGTTAATATTGTGTCTCCTACCTTAATAGCTCAGAATCAGGATGATCTGTCCAGTAATAACCAGCTGCAAATACTGCAGCAGGTGAGCTTATTGGCTCCACCCCTTCCTGTTGGGTCTTCAGCAGAAAGCCTTTCGGTCAGTCAACCCACAGTCCTTCTCACAACTCACAACCAAGCTGATGGCAGCAGATCAAACCAGACCCTGATCTCTACCATTCCAGTAGGCAGTCATGAGGTCTCAGCTAACCAGGCCTTCATCAATGGCACAGGGATCAGCTGCTCAGATTTGGAAGGGCTCAATGCTTTAATTCAAGAAGGGGCAGAAGAAGTGACAGTGGTCAGTGCTGAAGAGCAGAACATCTCTGTGCGAGCATCAGCTCCACCAATCTTTTCATCCTCTTCTCATTCCAATGTGCCAAAGCAAACCTATTCCATCATCCAAAGTGGAGCTCATGCGAGTTTGTTGTGTCCTGCAGACTCCATACCAGATTAGACTGGAGGCTGAAAAAGTCATTTTGCTCCATTTAGTCCTAGAGTGCATTCAAGAGGAGGCTGTTACGCGAAGCAGGCACGGTCAGCCTGGTGCCCCTTTCTCGAAAATGAGCATAGTTTGCATTCGTGAGAAATATGTTGATACTGATGGCTTTAAGGATGGATTGTGGTGGAAATAGATGCTCTTAGGTGGGGATTAAGTCCTGTTGTATGAGACTCATTTATATCGCTTTCAGGTCTAAATCTCTAGTTTGGTCTAATAACAATATCTGTCATGCTTAAATAATGTCTCTTTAGCATAACTTTCCAACTTTGTTCTAGGTTTAAATACCCAGTGAGTCAGACTGCGTAGGAAATGCTGTCAATCTTCAAAACTAGTTGTAATGGGAACCATTGAAAATTATTCATTGGCTCTTGGGTTCTCCTCCCCTTTCCTTTTTTTCCGTTTTTTTTTTTCTTTCATATCTCAGACCTTAAAATCGTGTTAAATGTATAAATTATGCATTTTTAATACTTAGGATAACAGTCTTACATTGTAATCTACTGCTGGATTGTTCTCCAGTGTGATCAATGACTTTAGATGGGCTAAAGAACAATAGCTGGCTATAATGTTGCAATATAATTCCCCAAAGTGGCTTTGTTCTTCTGTCTTCAAAAGCATTTTGACATATAACAATCAAGTCTGTCATGGAGGAAAGTGGGGAGAAAAATATCAGTTGTTGACAGTATTAAGTAGGCAGCTTAAGTGGCTCAAGGCAGTTTACTACTTTTTGAATATCTGATTTCTATATCAAGACTAGGGGGACCAGCTTTTGAAGCTCACAATACATGGTGCGGATGGTCTACAATACATCTGAACCATCTGAAGCAGACCAATTTTGTTGTGTCTCAGTTGAAAGTAGGCAAGCTCCACATATATCAGGGATCATCTTTTTTTCCAGATGTGACACCTACAGGATACAGTTGAACATTACCCTAAACCAGGTCTATGACAGCATGGAATGCACTTATTATCTTCTTACACCAGTTGGTTTATGGGAAATAGATGTCACTTTTCACTTGGGAGAAGCAAGAGCAGAGTGTTGCCAAGGGATGGGGAGACATCTTAACACACAAAAAGTGGGACACTCACTGTTTAGTGGAAGCAAAAACTATTTTGAAATCGTGGTTTTGTTTGAAGGTTGCCTTCATTTCTGCAGCATACAATAAAGCATCTTAAATAGTGTAACCATAACAATTAGATAGGACTGCACAGCATATGTTTGTTCCATTGAGCCCAACTCAGTCCTTTATATACTACAGCGTACTGGGAACATATCCAAAGTTGCAGGCAGATATAGGGTTTGTCTAGCATTTCTCACTGTGCTGGGCAACGTTCAGTTATTATAGTAGAACACCTTGATAAAGTGATTTTCCAGATTATATGCAGTTTATGGGAAGAAATGCATTCCATTTCTGTGGTGTGTATGTGAAGGCTAGTGGCAAATTTTTCTGTCACCTGTAGATGGTGCTAGAACTCAAGCTGAAGTTTGAGAGGAAGGACATGATTAAAGAACAGGTATTGTATGTCTGAGGAGTATTTCCTGCAAAAAAGTGAATTGAACTGTTTTGTTTCAATACATGTACATGAATGCTAGCTTAGAAAAGAAAACACTTCCTGGGGTACATCCCACTAAGGTACCAAGATTTCTTCAGTAAACAATAACAGGACTAGTTAAAATTTAAGTTTCCATTATTTTAGAAATGGAGTAGGTTGAAGATGTTGCATGTAGACAAGAAAATGTTTATACATGCATACAAATCTATATAGGTTTTGTTTGTATAAAACAAATGACTGATTTTTCAGTGAAAAGTTAAAAATATTGTCTTGTATCAGGCAAAAGTTGTAATCCATCTAAGGCAAGGGATAAACAGTCAGAGACTCCAGTGCTACAAATGATATTGGAAAGTTTTAGATGAGGTCCCAAGAGGCTAATTAATTTTATTATCCCATTACCGTTGTAATATGAGAGAAATGAGGAAATAGCCAATATGTGATAGAAGAGTAATACTGTTAATATATTATTTAAATGTGAGTTAAATTATATTGAGAGTTGTTTTTCTATTTTGCTCACTAGCTTTTTTCCTGTATTCGAACATTCGAAGACCAAGCACCATTCTTGTTCTAGAAGGAGGTTTCCCTAGCATTTTGAGTGTTATCTATAGATCATGGGTTCTTTGGTTTTACAAAGTAAATACTGTCACTAAATTATCACCCCTACCAATTTATAATACTCATCAGCTCCTTCACTGCTCCTAAGTTACAGGTTTACAACTTAGTAAACTATATTTTTTAAAAAAAGCAGGAAGAACTAAGATGAAGTAGGGTAAAACACCTGACAAACAGAATGTTGGGTTGCAATATTGTATATCATAGTGACCACAGAGGAGAATAGGTGAGTCTGGTAGAAGAAGATTGAGTGCAGCCATGCTTCATAAATGGAATTGTAGAATTGTAGAAGGTTGAGAAAACGGGGGAAGAAGAAGGACGTGTTTTGCTCTCTGAGGAACAGAGATTTAGAAAGGATGTGTTCCCTGGAGCAAGAGTACTTTGATTCTGGCCTGAGTGAAAACCACTTGGGAAATTGGGAATGGGATCAGAAGTATAGTCGTTAGAGGTGAAAGGAACTGGGTGAATTCGGATTGCAGAGAAGTTGAATGAGTTGTGTAGTAAGGATAGTTGATAAAGGGGAGAATGAACTGTAACATGCACTGAGAATTTTGTCTGGTCTGTTTAGAAAAAGGGAACTGAGTATACAAGACAAAAACCAATTAGAATAGAGCTGAAAGGAACCTTGGAGGTCTTTTAATCCAACCCCCTGCTCAAGTAAGAGACCTGGTACCATTTCAGATAGGTGGCTGTCCAAACTTCTTACAAACCTCCAATGATGAAGCATCTACAACTTCTGAAGGCAAGTTGTTCCACTGGTTAATCATCCTATTAGGAAGTTTCTCCTTAATTCCAGGTTGCTTCTCTTCTCAATTAGGAATTAGTAGGAAGATAGTCAAGAAGTATTGGGGGGGGGAGTGGGAGGGAGCCATGCTAACAGGGAAATTGGAAATGTGATGCTAATGTTCCTAAATCTTAATTCTTGGGCATCTGATTTACTGGGTGCCAAGGCTTGGAAGGGTGCTTTTGAATGCCAGATCCATTTATAATAACGTAACCTCATTGATAATGTAATTGTGGATGAAAGACCAGACCTGATGTATGCCACCAAGAACTGGCTGGATGAAAGGAAGGAATTTCTCTTGCTGAAATCTGTTCAGCCATGTTTTGTATGTTGCGTTAAATCTAAGACCTTCTTTGTGAGATTAAGCCAAAGGGTCAGTTTTAGAGATGCTACATAGTACTGTCCTTCCAGCTTCGTTGCAACATCTCTTCCTGAACTCAGTTTTATTACAGGTGGAAGTTTTGGCCATTCTGAAAGCATTGCTGGTCTGCCCATATCTCCAATCTTCCTCTGTGGGAAAGACTACTAAGAAAATGGTAGAGTAAAAATTACAGAAATTTTTGGAGGATATGAGTTAGATGGAATAGAAATCGCATTGGTCATTCTTGTGGACAGTTTGCACTGGGATTTGAAAGTAACCATTACTATGAGGTTCCTGGGTTGACAGATCAGATCAGAGGTCAGAGAGAGGCAGGGGTCAGATCTTCAGTTGTTGTGGCATGAGCTATCCGAGGATTGCAGTCTGCCTCTTATCCTTTTTGATGTCTATATGAAGCTGCTGTAAGAAATAATCCATCAGTTTGGGGTATGAGATCATCAATAGGCAGATTATACTCAACCATGTATCTCCACTCCAAGCCCAGTGGGAGATACAGATATCTCCCTGTGCCTGGAAACTGTCAAAACTTGGAAAGGAGAAATTAAAATGTTGATTCAGAGTGAACCAAGCAGATGGGAGGAACTGTTGCTTCAGAAGCTTAGTGATTCCAGGACAATTCAAACTTTAACACTTGCTTTTGTGCTTCTTCGGAAAAAAAAAAAAAGCCTACAACCTCTTGGGTAAAATCAAGAGCAAGCAGAGGCCATAGATTAGAGAGCCTTTGCCCAATTCTAGCTACAGCTCCAAATATCTTGAGCACGAGAACCATCAAACTTGCCCTTACCTGTCTCAGTTAATTCAGTATACATGAAACTGCTCTTGAAGATCACCCAGAAACTAGAATTGTATTGATCTTGATCAACATGCACTCATGCTACTGCCATAGTATACCTTTGCTGCCGGAGCTTAGATGTTCTGGATGCAATTCAAAGTGTTGGTTGCTGTTAAAGCCCCAAGAACTGCTTTTCCCAGATAGATCCTTCCCACCCAGTCCAAGTAGCCAGAGAATGCTTGCTAAAGTCCTTATGAGGTGTGAGAGGGTTGTGAAGTTACAGGTTATTCTCTGTTGGGGCTCTTTTCTGGGACAGCTTCCTCTTGGATGGTTTTCACTCTCATGGCCTTCTGGAAACTTGTAAAAACTTGAGAATTCCAGAAATCCTTCAGGAATGAATTAATGTGCAGTGACTAGCACTATTGTTAATGTTTATTGTCTGTATTATGATTAGTATTGCTGGTATTTGTTTTAATTTATTAGTATATGTATAGTGCCTAGAGTCTACTAGGATTAAGGTGGTATATAAATTGCATAAATAAATGAGTTGTCATTTTTTTTTTTTTGCTTTAAAATCATCTGTCTCTAAAATGATTCATTATTATCTCTGCTCACTGCAGTATTTCATCAAATTTAATAACAACAGGGTACAAATTACAGTGAAGCTTTTTTTCTTAGGTATTATACTATTTTTTTCACATAACTTCATTCTCTATTCTCTGTTCTTATTCAACAGTCAGAAAAGGGGACATGAAAGTCATATACACTTCATCATTTTTGCTTATCATAGCCAATGGTAGCCTCTCACCACCCTTGGCTGATCTTGAAAATGGTAAGCAGGATCAAACTTGATTCATACTTGAAGCCCCTGAGATACCCATTGTTGCTGGCAGGGAAAGCCACAACCGTCCTAAAATAAAATAACAACAAATCATTTATTGTTACGATTACATATATAGGCATGTACAGAGAGTCACCAGGAGTCCTGCCTGACCCAACGAATCTTTAATTTGGCTTTTTAAACTTATGGTTATTCTCAGCTATCGGGGTGTGTACTGAAAGTAAAGCTCAAAAAAAGTCAAGCTGGGGTGAAAAGGGAGGACTATCACTACAGACATTTGCCCACAAGTGTTTCTCACCTGCTCTAGATAAAGATAATGTTGAACGTGAAAAAAAAATGTGCGTAATGAGTTCCATTATTCTGAAAATGTTGCCACTAGTAAGAGACACAGTATCTACTAATTCATAGAAACTAATGAAAACTAACCTCCTATCTCACACAGTTCAAAAATAATTTAAAAGAGATCTAGAACAAAATATTTTTGAAAGAAATATTGTTAGGAAGACAGACTGGAGAATACATTACACCCTGCAAAGTGAATCAGAAGATGAATTATCTAGAATGCCTATATTAAACAAATTTAAGAAAATATATAATGGCCTGGAATAATGAAAAGATTCAGCTTTATTTGGACTGGAATCTCATTTTTAGCATGTTTTGGTGTGCTAATCCACAATCAAGATTTCAGATGAAAATGCTGTTCAGTGCTGATGCCACCCACGCTATTACAGCACTCTTATCAATTAAAAGTATTTGGCACAAAGGTGCCAGAAACAATTGTTTTGCCCACACTATGCCGGTCTATTACAAGAGCAGTGAACTCCCACACAGGAACATAATGCCACAATTAGGTTGTCTAACCACACTCTCTGCTTTTCACTTTTTCAGAACCTGATGCATTGGTTATTTGATTGTAGGAAACTGGTATGTTTATGTCGTGATGGCCAGCCTATTAATCTAGAGGCTGTACATAGTTCTATAGATAAACAGGAAAGATAACCAGTGTGAAAAAATAGAAAGGTGATATACAAGCTCTGCATCACAGTGATACATTATGCTTAAATATATTTTTCAACTCGAATGGGTTTTTTAAAAAGTTTTTTTTTTTGAAGAAAAGTGATTAAGCAATAGAAAACTAAGTCCATCTCATAATATAGTATGGTTAACTTTTAGCCAATGAAAGTTGTCCACAGTTGAAAACTGGCCATATGCAAAAATATGCTGGGTTGAAAGCTTATAAACTCTATGGATAATACATTGCAGGAGTTCTTCATGGAAAACACCAAGATTTGCAATGCTATGGACTTTGCAATTTTACCCCAGTTTTGTTTTATATGTTGTCGAATGGATACCTTATTAGCCATAACAAGAAAATGGAAGACTCAGATCTTGCCAGGGTGTTGTCCTTAGGAATTTTAATTCATCCTTAACATTAGCACAATTCAAACAGTTCTTTCAATGTTTCAGATTTCCACTTTATTAAAAATGGAAAGTTAAGGATGAGTTAAAAAAGAGGAGGAAAAAATGAGACAAGGCGACTTTATATTGATCCAGATGATGATGAATGATTAGAAATCCAAGAAATTTACTGAATAAGCTCATGGATAGCATGGAAAAAGAAACTTTCTTATGAGCTCTTATAAAGTTCACATATTGTAAGTCACGATGCTCAAGATTGATTTCGTAACCATTTCTGAAACAGCTGTCATCTCATTTTGGAATAAGTACTAGAGATTCAAGTCACCAAGGGATAGGTTTTGACATTTTGATAAATTGATGCTTAAAATAATAATCAGAAACTACAACCTTTCTATAGAAAAATAGGTCTGAAAAGATCTCAGAGATTTTCTAGTCCAATCCCCTGTTCAAGGCAGGAGAGCTTATACCATCCCAGTTAAATGATTGTCCAGTCTATTTTTGAAAACCTTCAGTGATGGACCACCCACAACTCCGGGAGACAAGCTATTCCATTAATTAATTGATATAATCATATATAATTCTATATAACATTAGAAAATGTATTATCTGGAACAGGGTTGAACTGTGGAATCCGTGGTGTCCTCTGAGCTTGGTTATTTACATGCAGAGATTTCATTACTTGATTAGATAACATTATCAATGCTTGTTAGGTAGATAACGAATCATCAAAACATCTGCAAACAAATAACCCGGCTCAGAGAGCATCAAGGATTCCATAGTTCAACCCTGTTCTACTGTAGATAATATATTTTCTAATGTTATATAGGATTATATAAGATTGCATCATATTATGGACTCATAAGTAAATTAAATCCATTATTCTTTGTCTTACATATAGAAACACTAGAAAACTTTTTGTGGTCATCTTTGTGATATTTTTCAGCAGTTAAGAATGGCTATCACATTACTTTTAACTTGTCTTTCCTCAAAGCTGAAAATGTCTCTCAGTCTCTATGTAGGAAACTTGGTTTCCAATTCTCCAACTCCTTTGTTCCAGTTGATCTCAATCTTGCTTAAGATGTATTCAGACATGGACATAATACTTCAGACAGGGTGTGACTAATTCATTCATACATTCATAGATACATACATAAATACATACTCATTTTGGTATTTCTTTGCTGGGTAAGCAAAGTTACACAAGGAACAGAAGCAGAGTAAGAGTAGTGAGCATAAAATAAGGAAAGTCCAATTTACACCAACATCATTCACTATATGCCTTTCTTTTATGCAAACCATTCTTGCTTCTACCTCTTCCACCTAACTAAATAAAGTGGAAATGTGAATCCAATATTAGTGTTGAAAGTTAATGAACCATTTCAATGAATAGCAATAGTTACAATTATCACTAATATTACAGTAGCAGTATTCCAATATATCTTATAAAGCCAACTGAG